CACAAAAGTAAACACATGAGCATTTGAGAAAGAAAAATCTTTACTTCCTGACCCTAACCTAACTTTATCTTTTTTCTCTTTTCACGCATTGTATTTTTTCTTCCACTTCTGGGTACACTGTCCCCATTTTCCTCTTTGTAGTTGAAGGTCTACCTTCTCACCCTTACTGGAGACTGAAGTACAGGTAATGCAACACAGGTTGCTGAGAGAGGTCCCTGGTACTCCAGGTGAATTTGCATAAGCATCGTTATTCTTTTGACAACATCATACAAAAGAATGAATAAACCAAATGTCCTTTGTCATACTGGGTCATGTAACAGGCTAACATTATTGATGGGGTAAGGATCAGGAGCCAGTTTAAATTTGGACAAATGTATTTCCAGATAATGGAAGCCAAAAATGCTTCCTGGCTCTGGGTTGAATCATTAAGTCATAGAATGGCAGATATTTGGAATTCCTACTCTGTTCAAGACCCCAGAAACCCAACATCAGTCTGGTGCTTCTCTAACATTAGAGGAATAGATGACACACAAAATCAGATCTTGGGAGATTAGCAGGTAGTTGTTTGATTAGACTCATTCACCAATTTGGGTGAATTGATATTGAAAAAAAAAAGAATTCCACATCCATTTAAAGTATCATGCTCAAAGTTGATTTCCCTAGAAAGAAAACAAGCCTTAGAATGCTTTGCAGAGTTAGTCATTCAAAAACTATAGTTAGTCATTCTAACTATTCATCTAAAGATTTTGGAGTAAAATTTAAAATATATAATGTGGGTATATAGAAAACAAACTCCAGAGCTATCAATCCAATTCTTTATTTGGCTAAAAAATGTGGATTTTTTAATAACTTGACAAAAATACTATTCTGATCAAAATACAAATACTTAGTTTTAGTTTTATGTTGCTGGAAGAGTGGTTATAAATTATCTAGTTCAAAAATCTTTCAAAACTACATCTTCAAGAAGAACCACAAATGACTTTTGAGAAAACTAGTGTGGAAAAACAATTTTGTCTAGACTACTTAAATCAACATGTATCTGCTTCTCACTGAAGATCTTCCCAGAACCTAGTTCCCAGGGTGTTAAATGGAAAAGGCTGGAACTATGGGGCTAATCTGGCTTTTCTGATGTCACCAGTCAGTGGAAATGGAGTCATCATGGTAACTCCAGCCAAGTAAGCCAGTTTAGTTATTCAATTATTGTTATCTAATATAATACTGATGAGACCATGGGGAGCATATTTCTTGCTGTCATTAGTTCTACATTTTATCAGGGGTTTTGTAGCAGCCTATGTTCTCATTTCAATGGTCTATTTTTTTTTCTTTCTAATATACCTCAATTTAAAGACTTTTTGGTACAGTAAGTTCATGGTTGTCCCTAACAACTGAGTAGTAAATTTAGCCTACTAATTACTTTTCTGTATTTTGCCTTAATAATAGTAGTTAACATTTACTGAAGGTCTATTTGTGCCAGAAGTTATTCTAAGTTCTTTAAGTATATTAGTTTATCAAGTGCTCATTTAAATTTAAATAATTAATCCTCTGAGTCAGTTGCTATTTATTATCTTCATTTAACAGATGTGGAAACCCAGGTACAATGTTATGTAACCCTCCAGATCATCCTTTGAACCACTGTGCTATGTTGCCTTAACCTTTGGATTTTTAAACCTGAAATTATTGTTAATAAAAAGGAAGGTCATATAACACAATTCCTTTTAGTGGTTGATTCTATTTTAAGTAAAACAGGAAAGCTTTTATAATGCTCTTCATGTACCAAGCCTATTGTAAGCACTCTAACAGGTACTAATTCATTTAATCTTCACTCTAGCCTTAGGCTTAGGTATCATTATTCTTCCCTTTGAAGACTAAGTAACTTGCCCATGGCCACCAGCAAGTGCATGATAGAAATTCAAGGTAGGAGGGATGGATATGCAGATCATTGCAATTATTTTATCCTTCTGTCTTGTCACTGCTGTTTGCCTTTGAACAAATTGTTTCACCTGTTGAATTTTCAGAGAGCTCATTTATAAATAAAGGGCATGGAAGATTCCATGATCATTAATAAGTTTCCTTCCGAAAGTCCTACAGATTTTGCACAACAAAGTCACTAGGAAAAAGCTTGTTTATGCTACTCTGTAGGCTTACATGCAAATTCCAGCTTTTACACTGGACTTTCTAACACTTTTCTGCCTATTTCTAAGAACAGTTCTGGAAAGCCTTTAAAAAGAAGCGAAGAAGGCAGACAATGTTGATGGTGTCCAGAAATGCCAGTTTCAGCTCAGCATCTATCAACAAAACCAGATAATCCTGCAAACTCTGATTAAGTCCTGGCTCCACCACTTGCCGGCTGAACAACCCAGAGCAAGTACTCCACCCCTGACTTCAGTGTCTTTTTCTGTAAAAGGGGGATAATAACAACCCTACTTCAACAGAGTTACTGTGAGAAATAACTGAGATAATGTGAATAAAGAATGTAGGACAGACCTTGGTCTACATCTTAGTGAATTAAAATTTAGCGCTGTTCTTAAAAAGATCTTCACTCAGATGAAAGGGAAAATTGTGAAATGCTGTGGTCATAATTGCCTAGGATTTTTTTCTGAGACCAAATGAAAACCTAGTTCCACCCAAGTTTTAGGTAAAACTGAGCTCATCATTTCTTTTTTTTGTGGAGTGGAGGTTAGGGGTGGTTAAATTGGTCAATTGGGTAATATAAAGGCAACTTGATACTGAACTAAATTAGCTTGCTGAAGTTATTTAACTTCAGAGGAGCTGTATGAGTTATTTTTTATTTAACTTGATTAATATAATTAGACAATCAACATTGTTATGTCTAGTAAATAGGACTGAATTTTCTAAAGTTTATAGAGGACAAATATTACCCTTCCCATCCCTCGTTAGTTATACTCGGAGGTGGTTGCTTTATTATTTGCTAAATGTCTTATAGTATATTTCCTGAGGACTAGAAACAGCATCTTAGAATACTAGAATCTGTTTTTCTTTCTAAGGAATTCATCAAACAATGTCAGCATATAAACTGTCCAATATGCAAGATTATGGAGGGAAAAAAATGAGTGGAATTTCTAAAATTTTTGAAAGTATGATAAAATAATTGAGACTGCTGAAGTTTAACACTACCTGGAGCTATCATTACACTTCCTTACGAGGCTTACTAATGAAAACTCACTTTTGCTATACAGAATAGTAAAGAAAATTAAACCTCAATTTTAAAATGAGTTATTAGTTTAATGAGGACCTAATCTGGGACTAAATTAGGCCCTTTTAAAATTGATTACAGAATGTTACACTAAGTGGTGGTAACAGTATATTTATTATGCAAAATTTTATGTACAAGTATTATATGATCATATCCAGGACAAAACAAATATTTCCCTGAAGGAGAGCAAAGCTTGCAGGGCTGAAGGAAATCACAGAGACTATGTCATCTAGTTGAGGCCCATAGGGATTAATTGATTTGCTGAAGGTAATGCTGCTAATAAGTAGACATTTCACACTTTGGCTCAGTCAGGCAATATTTTCAAATGGTAAAAATAATTATAATAGCGCTGTTGAGAATATAAACTGAGTCAAATACTTTGCTTGGTTCAGTTCTTAACTCTATGAGTCACATTTGATTTTATAAATCGGATGACTGAGATTCAGCATTTGTGACTTGTTGAAGTCTCTACAGTTAGAATATATTTGAGATCCTGTCTCATTCCTGAATCTCTACTCTTACTTCTGGACCTACCGCTTCACCCATGGGACCAATAGGGTTGCCGTTTTTTTTTTTCCTGCATGTCCTTTAACATCAGTATTTTAATTTCCTGCAAACACAATGGCTGCCTGTGGCTACAGAACTTGTACCCAAATAGCTGAAGGAAATACGATTCCCAAGACTCATAGTTCAACCTCACAGGGTAATGGTATCAGGACAGTACCTAAATTATTCGCCTACTGTCCTTGAAAATTAACTGACTTCTAACAAGTAAACTGTAAGCAATCTACAAAATTATTAAAACATGACCTTTCAGCCTATGTAGGCTATGATTCAAGATTGTGAACTTAAAATCAGAATCTTCTAGTCAGACACAAGAAAATGACAAGAGACTGTTGTGTGGAGCTCTATAAATTAAAGTTGGAGGTAAACTAGAAGTATTATAGAAATTTACTATTTTTTAATGTGGCATTCCTTTGGAAAGAAATTCCCAAATATTGCCCTCTATTTAGTAGTTAAAAGTATAGTGGAAATTGATTGAATAATGATGGTGCTAAGCATTTTGGGGTGGTAACTACAATCTTAGAATAAGTCAAACAAAATATTTTAGCTATACCAGCTGAATTGTTAAATGTTTAATGTGTGTTAACAGCACTAGGTCCAAGGCAAAATGAGGCAATATGTTTAACTGTTTGAAAACTTGTTTTATTTTAAAAAGTTTTTAATTTTAATGCTATTTTCAATACAGGTGTGATAATACTCAAGAAAGTATCATGTATTTGATATGGTGAATTTAGTAAGTAACAATCCATCTAGATCCTGGCCCCCTCTGGTCTCCTAGATACCCTAGTAGCAAAATGTAAATACCCTTTTAAAAAATAAAGAGGCCTTTTGGGCAGTGGGATGCTATGCGTAGAAAGCTATAGGTCAAGAGAAGTGCTCTTTCATGACACACTCATGCTTTTGGCTTTAACTTCACTGAGTGTGAACAGTTCTGAGAGAACTGAGACAAATGCTTCTCTACTCACGGAGGAGGAATAAGGAGAAAAAGAACTTGTCAATTTTTGTTTTGTTTTTGGGCAAACCAGAGGCACAGCACAGGGCTTAGGGAAATGAGGGATTTTTAAAAAAAAGTTGAAGTAAAGTGCACAGTTACTGTCAAAAATATATTATCTTGATCCTAAGAAAATTAAGAGAATTTTATCTAATGAACTAGATTGCTGATCTTTTAATACATTTGGTTTTCATGGAACATACAATCACCAGACATAAAAGACTAGTTTGCTTTTTTAAAAAAAAAATTGCTTGGAGTTATCTACAAGAATCTCGTGAATGCAATTCAAGGATAACATTCTGCAGCTCTTTGGGTATTGGATGATTTCCTCGGACAAGTTCACCAAAGGAAGAGGGGACCACTTAAGTTCACAACTTCCAGTGAGGCTTTTTTCCTGCCTCTTCAATCCTCTCCTCTCCCACCTCTTAACGTGTCGTGTCGCTCACTCTTTCCCTAAATGCCAGTACTTTCCAGTTCCCTGTCCTCCACCCCTAGGGCATGAGACCTGGAAATCATGATGAGTTTCTCTTTGTTTGTAAACTGCTTCTGCACCGACAGAGGTGACTGGGTCGTGGGTAGCACTTGGCTGGAATCTTCCGGGGTACTTGGCTCGCCACCCGGGGCGGCGGCAGCCTCACAGTCTTGACTTTGACTGGCTGCTGTGTCCACAACCGACTCCACGGAGGTCCCCATCTCCCGCAGGGGGGTGTAGCCCTTATTGCTGCAGGACCCATCATCCGACTGCAAGCTGCGCGAGTCCCGCCTCGCTGGGGTGGAGTCCTCCAGCAGCGGAGGGGACGAGGGGGAGGCAGTTTTGGCCAGAAGGCTGGAATTTAGGTCCTCGCTGCCCGGGGAGGGCGGGGGCTCAGGGGACTGCGGCGCCCGGTAGTCTGGTAGCCCGCTGGTGCTGCGGCGCCTCAGGGCAGCGTACCTGCCGGTCCTGGGCAGGCGGCCGCCCTGCCCCCTGGCGGTGTGCGGCGCCGTGTCCTCCGCACCCTCCAGCTCGCAGGGCGCCCAACCCGCACCGCACCCGGCGTGCGGGAGGTCGGTCAAGCTGAGGTCGAGCTCACCCCGTGGGATCTCCCGGGATCCGCGTTCCCCAGGGGGCCTCTGCCAACTGCAGCTCGCGCCCTCAGCGTCCCCTTCTCCTTCCTGGAAGCGGTCCCCTTGCAAGGGTAGCAGTGCGAAGGCGCTCAGTGAGGAGCCCACGAGGGAGCTGGCGGTGCTCTGGCGCCCCCAGCTCCCAGGTGGGCTGCAGGGTGCCGGACTGCTGTGGCTGTTGGAGGCCGCGATGGCTGCATCGGCCACCGGAGTGGCCCGGCGACGACCCCCCGCGCCCGAGCGCTCGCTGTAGATGCTGTACACCGCCTCCGCCAGACTCGGGGGCTCCCGCGGGCTTCGAGGGGACGAGACCAGGTCTGGTGGGGACGCGGCGGCGCCGCCCCCGCCCAGCCCTGTGGGATGGGGCCAGGAGCCACTGGTCAGCAAAGCCGCCGCCCCGAAGGCGTCCCCGGCTGAGCCGCAGCTGCCGGGCTTAAGCTCCAAGCCCCGCGACTGCACGTAACTAAGGAAGCCATTGAGGGGCGCGGTCCCGGAGGGCGCCGAGGCAGGAACCGAGGAAGAGGAGGCTGCGGCCGCGGCAGCCGCGGCGGCGGCAGCCGCAAGGTCTTTGGCGCGGAGGCTGTGCACGTCGATGACTGTGGAGTAGAGGTCCCGCAGGTTGATGATCTTGGTTTTCTTGTCCCGGTTCTCGTGGAGCACCGCGTTGGCGCAGATGAAAAGGAAGATACCGATGCCCATGATGAGGGGCCCAAAGACCTTGAGTTTGTCGGAATGCAGGTATCCAGAGAAGATGCGGAAGAAGAAACCAACCGACGTAGCGGAGGTCGAGGAAGGGGTGGCAGGCAGCGCTGGGGGCGTGCTCCTGGGCGTGCCCACCGAGCTGGAATTGACAGCCTCAGGAGTACCAGGGAGGTTCCTGGACCGGTTTTTGTTGCCACTGCTGCTGCTATAGGCGGTGGTCAGGACCCGTTGGCTGCTGCCTGCTGGCGGCAGCTGCTTCCCTCCGTCCCGGTTGGCCCCATTGGTCTTGGGCCAGTAACCCACCACAGCCATGGCTATGCCCACCAGCAGCACCAGGATCCCGCAGAGGGCTATCAGCCCAGAGATGGAACACAGTTTCAGCTTGCCTTTCACCACCACCACGTCGTTCTTGCGCCTCTTCTTGGCTTTCCGCTTGCGCTTGGGGACCTGGCTTGGGGGGCGGAGAGGATCCTGCTTTCTGGCGGAAATCCTTAGCAGGCCACCGGTGGCGATCATGGCGAGCCAGTGGAGTGAGGGGCTAGCCCTTGGGGTGGAGGCTTGTGCAGGAGGGGCGCCAGCTGTCCACTAGCTGCTCCGCCACCTCCTCCTGCTGCAAAGCAGAGGAAGACAGTCAGAGGGTAAGGACTTGGTTGCAGCAACATTCCACGCGCTGCAATTGTCCTGCTCCCAGATCCCACCATGTGTGTGACCTTCATCCCAGGGCCTTCACCCATAAGGGAAGTGCCATATAAAGGGATCCTGGAGGGGGCGGGAGAGGTAGGAGTATTAGGGAAAAGAATTGTTGCTGTAATAGATAGGAGGCGATAGAATCATTTGAAAGGACACCATCTCTTCGCCTCCCACACACACTTTGTAGGTAATATTCAACATCGTTCACTTCTAATTCCCCTGGGTAGCAGTAAATGAGTTCTAATCTTAAGTAAAAACTAGGCATGGAGTCTCAGAGTACTGGTTGAGGATTCTCCTAGTAAAAAGAGTTTCCCTTATTTCCTACTGGAATGTAAAGATTCCTCCTCGGAGCTGCCCAGGGGGTGAGGGTTGTGTGTCTCTCTAAGCAGAGGAATATGTTCATGTGGGGCCCAAAGTCACTAAAACAGTCACACAAGTCACTATCTTATATACATAAAAAGAATTCACTTCTCTGAATAAAAGTGAAAAGCCATATATATATACACAGGCAGGCAGATAGATGGCTTAGCTACCTATCTATATATAGAGAGGTCATCGCTAAGAGAATAGATGTCAATACTCTGACAATAAATCCCTTCCCAAAGTTGTGTCCACCTATTATTGTTTCTACAGCTAAAGACAAACAGATCCCTCTGGCAGTCTTCCTCATCTCTTTTCTACAACATCTGGACAGCTTCTTGGGATGGAATATTTAGTTTTAGGTAACTGGTTATATAACTGGGCCCTTCCTTGTGGCCTCCTCTCTTCCTTCAGAACTCCCTTAAGGTATCGTGTGCCAGATCTCATTGGGGAATTTAAGAAGTCTCCTAGAACATCCAAGAGAAAGATATTTTTCTCATGTGGGAAAATTATAGTCTTTAAAAAAAACACACTCTGCCATAATAGCTTTCTGACCCCATATTAATGTGCACTTTTCAGTACTCTTTATAAATCCAATATTCAAATAAGCAGGCAATTAACTGGGTTCAGCAGACTACATAATAATGATGATTTGTAGAATGACATTTCCCCAAGTGAGAGTTGTTTTCTTAATCTTTTTCTCATGAGGTCATTTTTAGGAAGGAAGGGTGATAACTATCAGTGGACTATCCTAAAGGAAGTTTAGTTTTTATAATAAAGACTAGGTAGGTAAATGCACGGATATGCATTTGGGGATATCTGTGAGCTTCTTAAAATTTCAATCCTGCTGAATCCCCAGAGTAAAACATTTTGTGTTTCACTGGTTGTGTTTCCTCCTATTAAGAGCATTGTATGAATATGACAGGCTTAGCTATCACTCATAAGCCTTTTAGTATTTTATCCTTTATAAAAGAATTCACGTTTTAGAATAAATTACCCTTTGAAAATGTGGGATTACCCAGGTAGAATTTGCTTTTAATTGGATCTGGTGAAAAGCTCTGGCCCTCTAGTCCCTCCATTATATCAGTATAGGCTGGATCTTTTCTCCACTAGTGGAGAAGCAAATGGTAATCAGCTTTTTATAATACTTATAAATCAATATCTTCTTGAAACTTAGTTGGTATTAAGTAATAAGCAGCACTGGTTGGGTTAAAGAGGGGTCAATAGAGAGAAGACATATATAAACCTTTAAGGGGTTGCTGTACTAGTAAATACAAACAGACTATTGAGAAAACAAACAAACAAAAAAAGAGTAGCTAACCCTCCAAAATAAGTGCATTTATTATATAGTTATCAGACTCCAACATGACTAATATAATAATTTAGATATCTGTGAAAATGTTAAAAGATTTAGAAGCCAGATATTTTACAAGCAAACCAGACTCAGTTGGCAGGGTGGTTCTAGAGAAAAGCTAACATTTTGTTGGGTATTGCTTAGGTGCACTAGGATGCTAGTAAGGTACCTACATGTATACCTATCTCTTCAATAAGGCAGCTTTGACTCTGAGTAGATGCAAGAAGATTGGAATGAATTTCAACGATCTTTAGCAGACTATTTTTAAAATTAGTTTAATGCTCAGTAATTAACTCCCTAGTTTATTATTCCTTCAGCTCCTTTCCAATGTACCCATCATCTGACATGAAATACTGACAGAGGTCAAAAGGCATGGAAGACCCTCCCATGGAGGCTTTTCTTCAAGCCTAAGGAAGGAAAACAAACTTAGCAGTCGAGGTTGACTGCCCTTGCAAATGTACTGCCTAGTGCTGGTCTTTCCGTGCTTAAGGAATGGAGGATGGGGAAAGCAAGGAAGATGTCTAAAAATACAACTGCTTGGGAGAGAGACATTCAAGTTCGCGGCTCATGATGGATTAAGCCCCACTCCGCGTCTGAGGCTCAGAGCCCACAGGCTGCGAGCGCCCTGCAGTAAGCGGGACTCAACCCAGGTATTGCCCTCGGTCCCGCGCTGGCCAGGCGGCGAACCCCTTCCCCTTGCCTTCGGTCTGCTTATCTATGTTGGAGTCACATGAGTGCAGCAGTTGGGAGTTCGGCTGTGGAAAGATACGGGCAGGAGCGAAGTGAGGGCAATCTTGAACTCGCCTTTTCTAGGCAGCGCATCCCACGTAGCCCGTCCGTGAAAATTAATCTCCCCGAACACCAACCCGGGGGGCCGGGTGGCTCGGGGCAGGAGGAGTAGGTAGGGCCGGCCTGCGCGTGAGGACAGACAAAATTGCTCAAAATGGCAGCACTATAAGCAAACAATATTGCTCACTTACCCAGGAAGGCTGGGGCAGCTCCGAACGGGCAAACGGGCGCCGGGGCAACACAAAGGAACCATGGAGAAACTTTTTCAGCCGGAGCCGGAGGCGGAGCGCAGGGACAGCGCCTCGGGGCCCTCCATCCGCGCGCCACTCAGCAGCCCAGCGGGGGCGAACGTCTGCCCCAGGTTCTTCGCCCCCTCCGGGGCCAAGGCGAGAGCCATTCCCAAGAGTTTGCAAGAAGTGTCAGGTCCTTGGCATCCAGCATCCTGCCTCGCAGCCGTTCTCTCCGCGCCGCTCCTCGAGTCCCCGGGCTTTCCCTCCCGCGGCGCTCCCCGCTGGCTCCAGCGCCTCTTTGTGTGGCTGCGGTGCGCTGGGCTCCGCCGGGTGGAGTTGAGCCCGCCGCTGCTGCGACCGCTCCTCGCGGGGCTCGGGGCCGCCGGACTCGAGGCCGTTGCTAAGAGACCGGAGCCATGACACAGGGAAATTGCTGCAGGATGGCAGTCGGTACCCGGCCCGACTCCGCCGCGCAGGGGCTCCCACAGGGAAATTGCTGCAGGATGGCAGTCGGTACCCGGCCCGACTCCGCCGCGCAGGGGCTCGCCCGCCCCCCGCCCCGCCTCCCGCCTCCTCCCCGGCGCTCCCCCCTCCGCCTTCCTCCACTCCCCCCACTTCCTCTCCAGCCCGCAGCCCGTCCCTTCGGAAGAGCCACTCCAGCCACCGCCACCCCCCCCCCCCCCCACCCCCGCGGCTGGACCTGGAGGCGCGAGGGGAGGCGGAGGAGCCGGCCGCTCTGGCAGCGAGGGCAGGGCGCGGGGTGTCTGTGTTGGCCTTCCCGGCTCTTGGGGCGCCCCGGCACCGCCGCCGGCCAGCACTGAAGCTTTGTTCTTTTTCTTCCAACTACCTGTCTGAGCAGCGGGTCGGAGAGAGCCAAGTAAAAGGGCAAACACCCCGGAGGGTCTCCCCTTCAGCATCCGAGGGGCGTCTCCGGCCAGAGAGGGATAAGCGCGCCCGTTCCTCCCCTTCCTCCTTGTCTCTCCCTTTCTCTGTCCTTTTGTTGCCTTTACTCTTGAACACGACACAGCCTTTGCTGTCCCCCCCCCACCCCCAACCTGGGAGTTTGCAGTGTGGATGCACAGCGAACACAGTAAGTTGTCCCCTTGCGAACTCGGGCGAGACGAGTGGAGCCGCCCCCGCCGTGCAGAGCGCACCGCGCGGGACGAGTGGCCCCGGCGACCTGCTGTCCGCGCGCTCCAGCGGAGCCGGCTTTGTGACCAGCCTCCTCGGGACCTCGGCGTCTCCGCCGGACACCGGCAGCTGGAGCTCCTCGAGAGGAGACTCGCCTCCCAGGCTCTTCGCCCGGCAGCCCCTTCTGCGCGTTAATCAGCGAAGATTAAGAGGAAAACTGTAATTCTCCGGGAATCAGGGTTAAAATCAAAGAGAGGAGGTGGGGGTAGGGAAGATATCCAAACTCCCTACGTCATTTTTAAAAAAGCGAGAGTGGGGAGAGGGGGAGCCCGTTTCCTAGCTCATCCCGGCCGTCTCAACTGTAAAGAAAATGACGGGGAAGAGAAATTCAAAAGGGATTTCCCGATAGAGTATTGAGAAAGTAAGAAATATGTCAATAATCTATCGAAATCAGGGCAGCAAGGATCCAGGAAGAAACAGGAGAGTAGATGAAGCAAATGCTGTCTGAACTTTGGAACACTAGGGGAGGGGTGGTGGTGCATATTTTGAGTACTGCTTTTTAAGATCCCACAAAACCCACACTGGAGGGCTTTGCTGGCCACAGTTCCAGTTCCAGATTGTTCCTCAGTGTTCACCTCGTTCATTTCTGTTTAAAGATAGATTTACACTTCTCCAAAAGAACAATAAAGAAAAAATACAGGTTTAAGGATACAAACGTGGACAATGACAAAATGAGTTGGGGGTAGAGATGGTAGGGAGAGATCATAGATGGAGGAGAAATGTTTCCTAGAAGGAAATCCTGCACCTGCTGTTTAAAAGGTAGCTAGCTCTGTCACCCTTTTAGCATATAGTGAATCTGGAGGATGATCACCCACCTTCCACCTGCCTATTCCTGTTCAGACTCTGGAAACACTGGAAAACAAGGCATAACATTGGATTGCTTCCTTTTTAGAGAAACGACTGCAAAGGAGAAACAACTAGGTGTAGTTGTCATTGTTAAAGTGTTTTCCCTCTGAGCTTCCAGATTTCTTGAATCCCAATAGTCTGGTGTTTTGTATAAAGGTTGGTCAAAGACCTCATTTTGCTGTAGATTTCTTCTGACTGCCAGGACCATGGGTGGAAACTCCTGTCCTTTGTGGACTTTGATTGCTGAGTTGTAGAAACAAGAATTATACTGCAGGACTTCATTAGGATTTTAGGTGGGTTAAACCATTAGTAGTTTCAACTTTCTGCATAAACTATAGCCACCATTTGTACATTTAAAATTCATTTGCAGAATTTGGAAAAAATTCCTTCTCCAAACAAACAGGCCTTGGTACAGAGCTAGTTTGTTCTTATGCTATGATTGCAATGAAATTTATGGCTTATTATTCAAAAGATTCCTCTACAATGAGCTCTTTTGAACTTGCAATTATTCTGTTTAACTTGAGTGTTATAACCTTCAGTAATTTTCTTTGTTTTCAGCTTAGGGTATGAGAGGAAATCAAATAGATCACATCTGTTTCCAGTAGAATCCTTTATCCTCTGTAATAATATAGTTTAAACATACATTCCCAAAGGTTTCCAAGTTACCTGGAGTTATTTTTAAAGCAACATGGATGCTTTGACCCTTCTGGAGGCACCATCCATCTGATTCACTGGCTGTTTTATTAGTTTGTGTGATTTCTGAGGTTGTGGGACACTCCCTTTCACCCTGTTGTGGGCTGAGGGCTAAGGCTGCCTAATCATAATAATGCACTGTTGTCTCAGGCACGCAGAGAACTGCACAACTTTCAGAACATGTTGTAGCAGGAGAGTAATGAAGGCCTTGGGAGAAAAGAAGAGGGGGAAAAAAGAACATAATTCAATTAGATTAGACTCTGACCCGAAACCTTTCATTTGCTTTTTCTTACAAACAATCCTATTGTAATCGCTTCTGTATAATAACTTATTCAAAACCCACTGAATTGCCCTCATCACTTCACAACCCATCTGTTCTCCAGGATTATTATAACAAGAACAGTGACCTGCCTTGGGCCCAGTAAGGCCTTTCTTGGCTCTAGGAATGTATCTTGGGAGAGGGTTTGTTATTATGATCACTAGTATTTAGATATAGCTGACATATAACATATTATTTTTAGGTGTACAAGTTATTCAATATTTGTATCTAATCCAAAATGATTACCACCATACATAGTTATGTTATCCCACAGCAACTTTCAATATACATTATAGTTGTGTTAACTACAGTCCCATAGTTATATCCCCAGAACTTATATTTTTAGTGAAGTGTTTGTTTATGTCAACAGCTTAGCAGCTCCCACCTATCCACATGGCACACCCTTACAATTGTCAGTCTGCAGAAACCGGTGGCTTTAATAATGGGTCCTGGGACCAGTTGATATCCTCCACTAATTAATTTAAATAATGACTTATCTTGCCTGCCTTGGTGTTCCCATTTTTAATGTATTAAAGACATAGCATTATAAGAGTAAACAAATTCAGTTCATGTAAAGTAAGGTTTAGCTTCTAAACACACAGTATATTTAGTTATTACCTTTAAAAAAAAAAACAACTTGTATTTATGTACGCAAAAGCGTGGGTATAGGCCAGAGGTGTGGGGGGTAAGAGTCTTCACCAGAGACAGAGTGGAGAAAGGAACAGGCAGATAGACTGAAACACACTGCTGAGGGAAGCAGAGGGTAAAACAGGAGAGGTCTGCTGTGTCTTGTGGGCCAGGGGATCCATCTCATGCTGTAGTGGCTTCAGATAGCTTCATTCTGCAAAGACTTAACCCCTTGCTCACAGAGAGGAACCTAGTTATTACCTTGTTATTCTGCTGTCTTCCCAGCTCATTACCCCATCCTCCCATTCTATTCATATCCACCAGGGATTGCACTTAATCTCTCCAAAATGGAGTTCCTGGATCAGCTGTTGTAACTGAACTGTGTTTAATCTATGTGGCATAGAACATCTTTCTTCTTTGCTACTTTGCTCATTTTGTAATTCACCGTGGCCCTTTAATGTACTCTAGAACCCACATTTCAAACTTATGTCACCCTAAAGTCAAATGTCTGTAAAAAACACAACCAGGAGCACATCCTTCAGACTGGAAGTTTGAGAATTTCATAAAAAGCACTGTCAAGTGTTTCATGGCATCTCTGCAACAGAAAAAGAAAACTTTCATCCCAAGGTTGACCAGTCCCTAAGTCACTTTGGATGATGACTCACCCTACTGAGAACTAATAGGAATTCATACAGCTGATCTTCTTTCAAAATTAATTATGATGTGAATTGCAGGAAAGAAGAAACATGCAGATAAGTAGCTCACTCCTCTTTTCTTGTTTCTTCTTCACTCTCTTCATATCCCTGTCACTAAAAATCAGAAACAAAAGAAAGCAATAAATAAAGCAGATAACAGAAGTATTGTATAGGACCTACCCTGAAAAACAAAATTATTGCATATGACAACAAATGCAAATGTTTTGCATTGCTGTTTATCTGTTAGTCATATTTCACTGGGCATTCTGTTTTTTATTTACAACCCCACAGCAACATACTTTTGGTAGTTCATTTTTCCAGGATACATAATAAACACAAGAGCCTGATAAAATAGAAAATATAAAATGCAACTGTGGATTGATGCCTCACTAGATTTCTTTTGGAACAGAATAGGCAGAAAAGGAAAACATTAAACAAAGCCTGGATGGAACAATAGAACTCAGAAGCCCAAGGATGGCATTTCCACAGCTGGGTTGCTGTTGACCTTGGGGTTTCTCAGTTACAAGTTACATGGTTTGTTTCAGCCCTTCTCCAGGGCACACTGCTGTGCCAGAGGGAGGCTACCTGCCTCCAGCTCTGTTCCCCAGAGTCTACAAATGAACCTCTGAGACAGAACTCAGCATCACTTTCAAGAACTTCAGTTTGGAAGCTAAGGTGAACTCATGCTAGTGTCAAGGTGATGATCAAACCCAACTGTTGTGTCCAAAAGTT